GCTCGCCGCGCCCTGTCCTGCCCTGCGCCGTTTCGTCGCCTCGCGGCCCCCCCTCCCCCATCGCTCCGCGCCGTTTCGTCGCCCCGCGGCCTCGTCGTCCGCATCCTCGTCGCGAGCGGAACCGTCGCGAGCGGCCATGTCGCCCGCGGCCCCGTCGCCCGCTTCCCGTCACCCCCCTCCCCCCTTCGTTAAGCGCAACATCAGCCGCGCGCACTGCAGCTGCGCGCGTTCGCAGCCGTGCGCAGCTGCGCGCGTGGCGACTGCAGGGCGCACAGCTGCACGAGCAGCTGCACACGAATCTGCAGCCCTCGTGCGCCTCTGCCACGCTGCCCTGCGCGCTGTTACCCCGCCCCCCTTCTTCTCCCTTTCCTTGCTGCACGTGCAGCAGAAGGGGGGGGAGGGGGGAGAGGGTGTTGGGGGTCGGGGGAGTGGCGGTAGGGTTGCCTGCGCTTGTGGGGTGAAGGGTGATGGGGGTGGCGGATAATGGAGGGTGAGGGGGTGGCAGGAGGGGTTTCTGCAGCGCCAGCCGCCCACCACCTCCTCCTCTCTCTCCGTGCCGCACCTGTTGTTGTGTTGGCAAGGGGGGGGGGGGGGAGCTTGGAGGTTAACGGGGTGGTAGAGGGGATCTGCAGCAGCAGCCGCGTCCTCCCCCTTCTCTCCTCTCCGTTTTCCACCCACCACTGTCCTGAGCCGCCCCCTTCCTGAGCCGCCCCTGCTGTGGGGATGAGGTGTTGCTGGGGGGAAGGGGGAAGGTTGGAAGGGGATGGCCGCCGTGAAGTCAGTTGCTCCAGTAGCCAGTGGGCCGGTTGCTCCAGTCGCCAGTGGGCATGTTTCTCCAGTAGCCAGTGAGCCGGTTGCTCCAGTCGCCAGTGAGCATGTTGCTCCAGTAGCCAGTGAGCCGGTTGCTCCAGTCGCCAGTGAGCATGTTGCTCCAGTAGCCAGTGAGCCGGTTGCTCCAGTCGCCAGTGGGCCAGTAGCTTCAGCCGCAGCCTACCACCTCCTCTCCTCTCTCTCCCTCTCTCTCTCCTCCTCCTTGCCTGCCCTCTCCCGTTCTGCTGCGCACTCTGCCTGGTGTACCCCTTCAGGGGGCGATAACTACACTTCTTCCCACAAGCAATTATGGGGGCGCGTCAAAGTTATTTTATGTAACTGCTTGTGGTTTAGGTGTAGTGTATTTATCTTGTCTTCTGTTTGGTGGTGCACCTCTAGTTTCTTGACTATATGTTGTATCTCTTTGCTATTATTGAACCCCTCTTGTTTGGCCAAACCCTCTCGACCTCCCTCTCGACCTTCCTCTCGCTATCACTCTCGCTATCTCCATGGCTCCTAAGTTCCTAACTCGTTAGCTGTATTTCTGACAGCATGCACCTGCCCAACCACCAGTGGCCCGAAGCAATGGACCACGCCGTCATGCTGCACAACTTGCTCTCGTCATCATCTCTCCCGAACAACGCATCACCGCACCTGCTGTGGACAGGAAAGCAGGGCAGCACAAAAATGTTAAGAGTCTTCGGCTGCATGGTACAGTACCGGCCCCCATCTGCACGAGCCGGCCGATTCTCCCAACGCGCACAGTGGGGACTACACCTGGGCATCGAAAAGCATTACAACGCATGGAAAATTTTCGACGTCGAGACAAAAGAGACAGTGGCAGCACGTGACGTCATTTTCTATGAAAACCTCACCCTCCGGTATTACCTTGCCAACTTGCAAGAAGAAAACCCCGATCGCTCCGCTGGTTTTCAAGGCACCCGAGCCTTCGCCTCGGCAGACGACGAAGCTGACTGGGACGAGCAGAACGTGGAAGGAGCCTCGGAAGAAGCCGGACCCCTCCCCTACTGCTCCGTCGACGTGCCAATGGACGACGAAAACCCACGCGAAAGCATCAACGCTGACGCCTATTACCATTTCGCTGACAACGGTTACGTTACACCTGCACAAGTCAACACCGGCGAAGCAGAACGCGTAGGACCTAATTTCGCACCTGATCCAGAAGCGGGAGACGAAGCAGTTTATCCCGAGGACACTTCACTCCCCCGCTACACACAGAGTGGACTCCAAATCCTTGGCCTCGTCACCGCAGTTCACGGCGCAGACATTCCTAAAGAGCCTGCGACGGTTCAACAGGCTCTGGGGGGGGAATATAAGGAAAAATGGCGCGAAGCCATGGACAGAGAGCTAAAGGCGCTGGAGGAACGCAACACCTGGAAGGTCGTCCCTATCGGCGTAGCACGTAACAAAACAGTACTCACCGGGAAATGGGTCTTCCGTGTGTAGACAAAGGCTGACGGCACCATCGACAAGTTTAAAGCTCGCTGAGTCGTACGCGGCTTCGACCAAGAACACGGACGCGACTTCACCGAAACATTCGCTCCGGTCAGTCGACACACTTCACTCCGAATCCTCCTCGCGATCGCCGCCATGAAGAAGAAGAAGCTGCGACAAATCGACGTCGCGAACGCATTCCTCTACGCACCTGTTGACGCAGAAATCTTTGTCGAATTACCACACGGCTCCAACGGTGAGCCCAATCAAGTCTGTCAGCTGCTGAAGTCGCTCTACGGCATCAAGCAAGCTCCGCGGCTATGGCAACAATACCTGCACGCTCGCCTCATTCGCATCGGCTTCAAACAACTACCGCATGATCAGGGCATGTACCGGCTCACGAAGAACACCGACTACATCCTGTTAATCGTCTACGTAGACGATCTACTCTACATCGGCTCGACCGACGGCATCACAACCTGGTTCGAAGGGGAGCTACAGAAGGACCTCACGCTCACGGTTTCATCTACCGTCACACAGTACCTCGGTCTCAACATCCGAGAAGAGGAAGACGTGATCCACCTCAGTGCCGCGAAATACGCAGACACCATCGCCAAGCGCTTCGTACTCACACCGACCGCCATCTCCACACCGTACCGCTACACGACAGGAAGCAGCAAGGGAAGCTCCGCTCTACTTAAGCCCGCCGGCATACGCGACTACCAGAGGAAACTGGGATGCCTTCTTTTCGCAGCTGTCACCTGCCGCCCAGACCTATCGTATTCTGCAAGTCAGCTCGCCACCTACCTCAAGAGACCTGAAGCGGAACATCTAGCAGAACTCGACCGCGCTCTTCACTACCTCGTCAGCACTCCGACGATCGGCCTAACTTACTACAAGAACGCAACTACACCGCCTAAGTTAATCGGCTACGTCGACGCCGATCACGCTGGCGACTCCGACAACAGGCGCTCCCGCACCGGTTACATCTACCGCCTCGAACCTATCGGACCTATCTCATGGCAGTCGAGCAAGCAGGAATTAATCGCCCTCTCGTCAGCTGAAGCAGAATATATTGCACTTTGTTCAGCCACTAAGGAAGGACTTTACCTTCGCGAACTGCTGGAAGAAGCGAAGCTGGCTCAGTTACCCAGCTTCAATCTGTTCTGCGACAACCAGAAGGCAATTCGCATGGACAACAAGAACGGCTTCGCGAACAGGACGAAACACATCGCCCTGCGATATTTCTTCGTGAAGGACGAGATCGAGAAAGGAAGGCTCGAGCTGTCATACTGCCCCACGTCCGAGATGGCAGCTGACTACTTGACCAAGAAGCTCGGAAAGCAGAAGTTCGAATACTGCATGCTGCTTACTGGACAGCAGGGCCCAAATTTCAAGGGTAAAATACCCTTTTTGCCCTGATGGTAGGCCGCTTTTTCCCAGTTACCCTTGCCAAAACAGGGCATCAATTTTTTTACCCTAGAGCAAACAGGCTAAGTTTTGATTTACACCGATAACGATTTCTGTTACCCTGCCGATATCAGGGTGCACTGTATACTTCACCGATACCGAATCCTCTGTAGCGAGGGTTTTCCTTGCGAAGCCGCAAAAGAATTTGTGCACCAGCCAGATTTGAACTCGTGACCTTCCTAAACCTTGCCTAACTTCTGACTAGCTGAGACATATTCAGTTGAATTATAACGTTAAAAAGAGTAATTTTCGATGGAAAACATTTCACCCTTTTAAAATCAGTGTACTGGTTTTTTTAGGCTGTTTTTGGCAGGGTACGAAATATCACCAGCAGCGACACTCCAGAAGCGAAGGGGAGTGTTGGAAACAATCGATCTTAAGCGCCTCTGTCGTGTCGAAACACTAAGGCACAAACGAAGCGAAGCATATCGAAGCACCAGCGAGTCAACCCTCGGAGGTTGAAAGTAACTGTTGGAGGTTACGCGAAAGCCATAGGTCAGCGACCTTTGACCTGACAGAATACAGCGCGACAGCAAGGACACACAACTGACTCGCTACAGAGCAGTTGCCCGAGTCGTCACTGTATCGAACCGCAACAGCAACAGTAGAACAGTTATAACTGTATCCCTTCGTATTCCTTGTACTCTTATATAATCTTGTATCTCCTTGTTTTAATCAATCTACTTTGCCCTCACATACTAGCGCAAGGTGGTTCACAGACTCATCATTAAACGCTTCCGCTATTTCATCAGTCCTACCCAGAGTTCACCCCTGCAAAGATCCTAAGGGCTATTTTATCAGCCCAACATGGACTACGTCATTTTGGTGCTGTATTGTCTACCACCAAATGTACAAGGCAAGTATGCTCCCCTCTAACAAGCATTACCAATCTACAATGGGCCTACAAAAAAAGGCAGCACCTCATTACCATGAACTCACCACGATCATGTATACAGTGTGACAGGTCTCGTTGGCTGTTGCCAATGCCCAGCATGCAGAAACGTGTAAACTATGTACCCTTCCTCCATTGCAACTACGGGGTACTACCCCCCTGACTGTCCTGCCCTATGCACCAGAACAATATTCTATTACTACACCTATTCCCCGCCAATCTGCTGCTGCTGCTGTACAACCTTGCTGCACTGTAATCCCACCAAGCGGCATGCTCTCCTTCTCTTGAGGCATGCCCAGCATGCAGACACTTGTTATTGTAAACTACGGGGTACTACCCCCAACTGTCCTGCCCTAGGCACCTTCTATTACACCTATTCCCCGCCAGTTTGTGGCTGCTGTTGCTGCTGCTGCTGCTGCTGTTGTGCCATGTGTCTCTCGTGCTGCACTGCAATCCCACCTGGCTGCATGCTCTCCCTCTGTTGAAGCACTAGCGCACCGCCCTGCACGCCCCCACCACCCTCGAGAGTCGTCTCCAGCGCCGCCCATCCCCTTCTGCTCCCTGCACCCGTGTCTGAGAACCGCCTTGCAGCCCCGGGCCGCGACGGCCTCACACGCATGCGCCCGGCCTCCCTCTCCCCCACCTCCCTCACCGCGGCGTCTCTCTCCCTCATCCCACCCATGGACTTGGACCTCCCCAGCACCACGCCCGCCCCTGCACCTGCTCGCCTGCCTGCGCCCCACTCGCGCCCCCCCTGCAGCCTGGAGGCCCCTGCAGCTGCCGTGGCTGCAGCTGATGCGGCAGCGGCAGCGATCCCGGCAGCCGAGTCAGCGCCTGGCGTGGGTGGAAAGGCACGCAGAGCAGGTGGCAAGGGATCCGCCCCACGGCGCTGGGAGTGGGCAGGAGATGCGGAGTGGCCTGTGGGCCAGGGAGGCAGGCCGGCACGGGAAGCAGCACCTGAAGCAGCACCAGGTGCCGAGGGCACGCGGTGCATGTGGAGTGGGGGTTGAGGACGGCTGGATGTGTGCTGCAGAGAATGCGACCTGCCTACCGGACCACCACCAGCTGCTGCTGTCCGGCGTGCATATCCAGCAGCCCCCTCGTGCAGGGTGGTGTACTGGTGCCCCCAAGCCCCGGGAGCACGGAGCCCCATGGGGTCACTGCCCGCAGCAGCACTGGAGTCGTGACAGGGTGCTGTGCTGTCATTGCCGTGGCTGGCATGACTGGCGTTGCTGCTGTAGTTGCCTTGAGTGCCATAGTAGGAGGCAGTGGGCAGCACGTGGGGCAGGCTAGCGGCATCAAGGAACACATTCAGCTCGCCGCCCGGAGGCACAGCAGCAGCGGAGAGCGAGAGGTGGTGGGGGAGCGGCTGTGCGCTGTCGCCCTCCTCCATGCCCTCGTCGTCCGTGCCACCCTCTGATAGGCTGAACGACTCGTCACTCGCCACCGACCCCTCCTGCTGGCCAACGAGTTTGACCGTGGGGACACGCGGCACACGAGGCAGAGAGACACACAGGGGCAAAAAAGGAACGGTCAGGTCAGAGCTGTGCTGCAGGTTGCCTTCCTGACAGAGTTCACGGCCAGCAAGTCCTTTCCCCCATGCAGCACTGCTAATCGGCATGTTTTCCACCCACGGCCTGGCACACAATCGGCCTCACTATTCAACCAACCACTTCATCGCACTCTCAATTCTTGAGTGGAAAATGGAGTGTTGAAGTCTACACCAGCGCCACTTCACACGCTCACCTCCTCATCCACTTCACACGCTCACCTCCTCATCCACTTCACACGCTCACCTCCTCATCCACTTCACACGCTCACCTCCTCATCCACTTCACACGCTCACCTCCTCATCGTGCTCGGAGCCTTCCGAGGAGAAGGCAGCATTGGAGCTGACGTCAGCAGCATCCCGCATGTGCTCCTCGTCGTCATCGCTGTCCGACGCCGCCACGTGCTCTGATACCTGTTGCTTGACGAGGGGTGCGGGGGAAAAAGGGGGGGGAGGTGGGTGGTGTGTCCTTGTCGTCGTCGCTGTCTCATGCCGCCATGTGCACTGCCGCCATGTGCTCTGCCGCCATGTGCTCTGATACCTGTACCTTGATGGGAGCGGCGGGGCGGGAAACCTAAAGAACACTTAATAGAATGGTGCCTGCTTGTCCACTCGCTTGCTCCTCAACTGCTGTCTCAATATTGTCGGCACTCTCCGATGGCGCAACGTGCTCTCATACCCGCGGCTCGTGATATCAGGGATGGGGCAGGTGGGGCACACGTACAACACACTCACATGAATGCTGCATGCCTGTCCACTTGCTTGCTCATCGCTGATACTGCCTAACGCTGTCACGTGCTACAATGTCTGTGGCTTGTGCGTCGCATGAAGAGCGGACAGCACGCACACACAGATCGCATGGCAGCACACAGAATGAAGAACAGATACAAGGGCAGCCCCACAAGGCACAGCGGGCGCACCTCTTCCTTCTTCTGCAGCGCATGTGTGCGGGTGGCAGGCGAGCCGTAGAAGCTCGGCATGTGCCCTCCCCCGCTCATCCTCACCCCGTCCATCGCCTTTTCCAGCCGCCCCATCCCCATCCCTCCCATCCACCCCCCAGCCTCTCCCACCGCTCCTCCCGCTGCTGCTGCCGCTCCTCCTCCTCTCGCCCTCCTCTCCCTCTCCCGCTCCGCCAGACCCTCTCCGCCGCTGCTGCTGCCCACGTCAGCGCTGCGAGGGAAGGCCGTGCGGCCGCTGAAGCGCACGTGGATGGGCGCCAGCAGGCTGCCACCGCCCCCACCAGATGCCCCTACAGTGCCACCACCGCCACCAGGTGCGCCTGCACCAGGAGCACCTACCCTGGGCGTGGAGCACGCACTCACCCCCGAGCTCAGCAGCGCACTGGGGGACTCCAGCGAGCATTCTGTGGCCGATGGGGTTTCCGAGAGGTTCAGCAGGGGGATGGCGACAGCTGGGGGAGGTGGCAACTGCCTGTACCCTGCCTGCCAGGGAAGCCCCTGCGATCCAGCTGGAAGCAATGCTGCTGCGGAAGGAAAGCGGTCTCTGGGCCCCCTGGGAGGCACCCCTGAGCTGTAGCCCGGCGCATACCCGTCTGACAGCTCCTCTGGATACATGCACGCCTGAGCTGCGCCTGCTTGCACTGACGGTCCCCACAATAAGGTACTGCCTGTGCTGCCCTCTGACACTCGCAATGCGTGTCGTGGCAGGGAAGGCACTGCTGACAGCGACGACGGGCCGTGGCTTTGACACGCCCCTGCAGCAGGTGGGAAACCATCAGGTGGGAGATCAGGTGCGAGGGGTGAGAGGCGACTGTGGGCAGCAGCACGCGGGTACGGCTCCCCTGCAGCACCCGACTCGCTGCTGTCAGCACCAAAGGCGTACGTGGGGAGGCTGAAGGCGCGCGTGGGCAGACCAGAGAGCAGATCCGGGATTTCAGAGGCAGAGGAGCGCACACTGCCCTCCCTGAGGCTGCCCTCCCTGAGGCTGCCCTCCCTCTGGATGACGTAGAGCATGCCTTTGGAGCCGAGCCCAGATGCGGTGTACTGAGTGTCGTACTCGTGGCGCAGCAGTGGCAGCGTGTTGGAGGCGCGGCTGTACATGCTCTCCCCCGCTGCGCGGTGCCGCAGGCAGGCGAAGACTGTTGCGTGGATGGCCGCCACACTCTTGTCCATGTTCGTGTTGTTCACCTGCAGGGGGGGGGGAGATGGGGGGGGGGGGTAGAGCGGGGGAGGAGGGGAGGGGGAGGGGAGATGCGGGTTGTTGTGGGGGAGCAACAAGTCTAGACGCCCTGGTTGCCATTGTGAGCAGGGAAACGAAGACCATGGCGTGGGTGCCGCCATGTTCGTGTTGTTCACCTGGGGGAGCGGATGGGGGGAGAAAGGGTGGAAGAAGTTGTGGGCAGAGGGGAGGGAGATGGAGAGGGGAGGGAGATGGAGAGGGGAGGGAGATGGAGAGGGGAGGGAGATGGAGAGGGGAGGGAGATGGAGAGGGGAGGGAGATGGAGAGGGGAGGGAGATGGAGAGGGGAGGGGGATGGAGAGGGGAGGGAGATGGAGAGGGGAGGGAGATGGAGAGGGGAGCGAGGGGGTTGTGGGAGAGCAGCAAGTCATGAGGCCCTTGGGCTGTTGAGATGGAGATGGGGAGGGGGTCATGAGGCCCTTGGGCTGTTGACGGCAGGCAGACAGCAGCACAAGGTGATTTGTATAAAGGTGCCGCATCATGTGCTTCGCTGTCTCCGCTGCAATGCGTTGGCCTGCCAGCTGGGCCTTTCTGCACCACCTTTGAGAACTCTCAAAAGGTTCTCATTCCCGTGGCTCCCATTCCCATGCCTCTCATTCCCATGCCTCTCGTTCCCATGCCTCTCATTCCCATGCCTCCCATTCCCATGCCTCTCATTCCCATGCCTCCCATTCCCATGCCTCTCATTCACATGCCTCCCATTCCCATGCCTCTCATTCACATGCCTCCCACTCCCATGCCTCTCATTCCCATGCCTCCCATTCCCATGCCTCTCATTCCCATGCCTCTCATTCCCATGCCTCTCATTCCCATGCCTCTCATTCCCATGCCTCTCATTCCCATGCCTCTCATCACAGCACATCACCGCAGCGTACCTTGGGAATGAGGTGTTACCCACTATGCTATGCCCATGTCTACCTTAGGGATCAGATGCTTGTCAGCGCAGCGCACGAGGTAGTCCTGAATCGCCCGGATGTTGCGCACCGCATGTACTTGGCACCTGAACGTCCACCGTACTGTACCGCGTCTACTTGGCACACACCTTGGGGATAAGATGCTTGTCGGCGCGGCGCACGAGGTAGTCCTGGATGGCGCGGATGTTGCGCATGTAGCGCACGTACTTGTTGCGCCGCGGGTCCAGCGTCATGTACTTGGCGCGCACCGCAAAGCGCTCCATGTGCTTCGCCTCGTTGCCAATGTAAATCACAAACGGGATGATGCTGGGATGCCGCTTCAACAGCTCCATCTGCCATGGGGGGGCATGGGGGATACAGATGGCATGGGGGGTGCAGGTGGGATCGTGGGTGCAGGTGACATGGGGGATGGAGGTGACATGGGGGATGGAGGTGCCACCGTGCCACGCAGAAAAGAAATTGACATGTGCATACTCCAAAAACCGCATGCCAGTCGGCAAAGAAAGCAACAAGTGAGCGCAGATGTGCAGGCAGTGAGGGAGTGCAGGCAGTGAGGGAGTGCAGGCAGTGAGGGAGTGCAGCGTACCACGAATTCGAGGCTGAGGAGCATGCCCTCCACCACAATGGCCGGCTCGTTGACTCGAGTCAAAGGAGCTGTGAGTGAGTGCAGGTGTGCAGGTGTGCAGGTGTGCACGCAATGGGTGGTGGCAAGAGTGTGCAGCTGTGAGGGGGTGCAGTGCAGGCAGTGGTGGACGTACCACGAAGTTGAGGCTGAGGTGAACGCCCTCCACGATGGCGGACTCATGGCAGCGCTCCCACTTGCACAGCAGCTGCTCCACACTGCCTATCACCATCTCACTCTGCGCCTTGTACCCCTGAATCACCATCTCCCTCTCACTCACCCCCTCTCTCTCACTCACACCCTCCCTCCCACTCTCTGCTCCCCCCCCATTCACCGCATCCCTCCCACTCCCCAGGGCTCTCTCTTTCCCGTCGCCGACTCCTTCCCCACTCGTCTCCCTGTCACTACCCAACCCTGTCAGGCTTGTCCGCCCCTCCCAAACCACCTCTCCCATTTCCCTTTCCTCCCTCCCACCCCCACCTCCCCCTGTCATTGCAGCTCCTCCCCCGTGGTTCCCTTCCCCGCCTATTTGCCCTCCCCCCAGCCGACCCCCCTCGTGTGAACCCAATCCTGCCTCGCCTCCCCTCTCACCACCGCCCTCACCCACGCCACCCTGCACCTCTCTCAGCCCCACCTGCCCCCCAACCTCCGCTGCCACCTGTCCCCTCTGCACGCCTCCTTTCCAGATTCTCCGTGTGTCCGTCTGCGGGCCTCTCTCCTCGCCAATCTCTCTGAGCTGCCCCCTCTGCCACCCTCCTTGCGCAGTTGGCTGTGCTGCGGCCTGTGCGCCGCCGTGCTGCCCGGCCAGCTTGCCCGCCTTCTTCCTGGCCTTGGCGTCGGCAACAGCGGCGGGGTCGAGGTGTTCGCCCGCCTGGTACGTGGACGAGTAGAGCAGCGGGTTGGCCTCGCGGCTGCTGAAGCCGCGCATCATGTGGCGCAGCGAGTCTGTCGACACCACTGTCGTGATGCCCAGCCGGGACGCCTGCACCAGGGGGGGGGGGAGAGGGGTATGGGGGGAGTGCAGGACGGTTTGCAAGAAGGTAGAATGGCAGAGCGTGCGCTTGGTCTCCTCGCGGCATCTGAAGCCACGCATCATGTGGCGCAGCGAGTCCGTGGAGACGACTGTTGTGATGCCCAGCCGTGACGCCTTCACCAGGGGGGAGGGGGGAGCATGTGAGGGGGGTGTCTTCCCCGCTGCTACAGCCGCGCCTGGTGCTGTGAGGGAGCTGGTGGACCCGAGAGGCATAGGCGAGGAGGGAGGGATGGCAGGCACGCAGGAAGGAAGAACGAGGGAGAACGGGGAGGCATAGACGGAAGGAAAGAGGGGGGAAAGAGGGAGGAGGAAGGAGGGGAGGATTGACGGAGAAGGCAGGGCAGGGAAGGCAGGTGTGCAGCGTACCAGGAGGGAGGCGAGAGTGGACTTGCCACAGCCGCTGGCGCCACAGAGGAACACCGTCACTGACATCTTCCTCTCACGCACCCTGCATGGCAGCAGCAGCAGCAACAGCAGCAGCAGCAGCAGCAGCAGCAGCAGCAACGACAACACAAACAGCAAGCACACAAAGAGACTCAGCAATGCACCAATAACGACACCGTCACCGATACCTCCCTCTCTCGCACCCTGCACCAAAGCAGCAACAGCAAGCAAGCACGAGACTCAGAAACACGCTAGTAACGGCAAGCAATCTCACAACATGGCCATCACAGATAAAACAAATCATGGTAGTCAGCAGTGCAGCGTAGCAGTGCGGTGCGGTGCGGTGCGGTGCGGTGCACTAACTTGCAGGCGAGGTTGAGGTCGGAGCGCTGGTCGGCGCTGAGGTAGCGGTACTCCGCCAGCGCCTGGCACACCACGTCCAGAAACGTGCTGCGCTTCAAAGACACGCTCACGCCCCTCACTGTGTCGCCACCCGCACTTGATCCCCCCTCTGCTGCTGCTGCCCTGCTTTCTGTCCGCTCGTTATTGTCACGGCCGTTATTGTCACGGCAACTGTGATTATCATGGCTGGCGCCGGTGGCCAGAACGGCGCCGGGTTCTTCTCGGTTTGGCCTGGCCAATCGCTGAATGCCGTCGGATCCGTTTGCCATCCGTGATCGGTGCGCCACGTCCGTCCGATGGCCGGAAACTCGACGGCTGGTGACTTGCTGCAGCAGCATCTGGAAGACGCGCTCGCTGATCTGCGCGTGGTGAGGGAGAGAAACGCGCCGGGGGGAGGGGGGGGAAATAACGATGAGATGCATCTCGCGAGAGAGAGGAATACCAACTTCCAAGGGCATCAAGCGTGGCGGCGAAACGGAAGCAAAACGTCCCGCCACCGGGATACTTGCGAGGCACATGAACGCCTTCTAACCTTTGTGTAAGCCCGCAAGCGTCACTGGAAGAATCAAGAACGTGTTGCTAGTAGGTTTGATCTGAGCGGTGCAGCACAGGGCGGTCTGACCTTGACGGCGTGGCGCGACTTGCACCCCATGAGCTGCAGCGTGCTGGACAGCACCGACTTGGTGTAGCGCACCGGCGCACGCGGCGGGGGAGGACGAAGAGGACGAGCGGCCTTCCCTCTGCCATCATCGGCTGCTGCGGGTTGACTCCGCCCTGCGCGCTCCTCCTCCTGCTCCTCGTCGTCGTCCTCCACGAGGATGTACAGCAGCTTCGCCAGCACGCCCATCGCCAGCGGCTTTGCCACTCGCCGCGATTCTCCGTGTCAGGGAGCGAAGCGAACGATTCTAACTACGCCGTCCGACGTCAATAGTAAGCGGGAGAGGTTGGGCGTGTGCCGCGCAGATTTCGTAAGACGCGCATCGTTCGTGCTAGAACGAACCTTGACGACTTTCAGCTTCTCCGCTAAAAGTCAATTCAGGACGCCAAGGGTTAGTAAATGGCCTAAAGGAAGACTGAAGTGGCACGGCTACGATCACAAGGGAGAGAGCGAGAGAGGGAGGGTCCTACACGTCGGAATGAGGTGCAGCATCGGAGCGAACGAGGTGAAACGCGACTTGGAGCCTCGTGTGTGGAGGCGGTGCATGCTGCTGACGCCTGGCTGTCGCTATGGCTGCTGCAGATGCACCACTAGCACACGGCGAATCCAAGGTGTCATTGCAGTCTGGTAAGGAAGTAATTCAGTGGTGCCTTTTACATGTGTGTGCCCAGCTTTTCCCAGAACCAAACGTTTTGCAAAACTACGAAATGGGTCGCAAGGAGAGTGGGAACCAGGCCTGTCGATTGACGGGCATATGCCCTTAATGCCCTGAAATTCAGGGTTACTTTCGCTCCAGCTCGACTGCATAAAGTGTTAGGATCGCCCTGCACCCGTGTCACCAAGTGCTTCGTTCGACCCTTCCCCGGATGCGTTAAGTGCTCCAACCAGGCCCTCCCCACCCACAAAGTTTTGATTTCCGGTTCTAGGACCCATCCCCCCTTAGAAATTCTGCCTGACCCCCCCACTCCCCCCCCCCCTTTCTCCTTAGGTTGCACGAGAGCGCGCCAAGGGGATTTTTCCCTTAGCGTTTTCTAGCCAATCCCGTGTTTGTGATATCTCTAAGTCAGCTTTGGAGCAGTCGAACTTTCCCTTAGCTAAGATAGTGTAAGTGCAAGCCCGGATATCAAGTTTTCACTTTGGCCTGCGCCCGTGACCGTTAAGGGCGCCAAAACACTCAGCTACGGCCAAAACAGGGTCAGATCGGGAGGAGCTGGGGACTCCAAGTTTGGGCCCCAGGAACTTCGACAGGCCTGGTGGGAACCCGCGGCCATATGCGACGCATGTTTCGTGAGTGTCGTTTGGCTTCGTCAACCAACCCGAAGCACCACTGTTCGTGGTACACCCTCATTCTCACCTTTCTCACCATCGCGCGCACTGTGTACAGTGCGAACAGCTAGCGCGATGGTGCCCCTAACCGTTTCACAGGCAATTGTGAAGTTGGCGACAAACCAGGGTTGAGGTGGCAAAATCAAACAGTGTCCGCGCATTGCAAATGGCAAAATGCTACAGTAACACCAAAATTGCAATTGCAGATGCCCTGTCATTGTGATTTCGGTCGGTTCGTCTCATTCGTTGTCAGACATGCAGTCAACAAGATCGGCCAGCTGGCTGGTATGATTGAGGCGACAAATTGTGCTTGTATGCATTGTGATAAGACCTCCTTTGGTGCGTTGCTGTCAGTCAAAGCGTAGCGGTCAGTCTAACATATGCCAGTCTATCGAGAATGAGGGTGTATACCGTACTTCGATGCTGCTGAGAGCCTACGAGAATGAAATACCTCCATATAGATGAGTCTCGAAGGGTAATGTTATGAGTTGTAAAACAGAGTTGCCCATAATAACGAATAACGAGGATGTGACTCAATGAACTGATCATACAATGAAGGCACGTGCTAATATAGTGACTAGCCTAGCTAGGAGGGAACCTCGGGGATGCGAGGTTGGGTGCAGGTTTGGCGATCGGAAAACCGAAGGCGACGTGGGGCAGCCTCGGAATCGTGAATGTCGACCGAACGTGCGAAGTCCGAAATGTCGGGGTTGTACGCGTAGCAGTCAACCCCGGTAAGGAAAATGAAAAATCCTTACACTACCCCCCCCCTTAAGAAAGGTGGTCAATACCCGCAGCTCGCGTGCGGGCAAGATAATCACCAAGAAGCTGAGATGCTTCAAGCGAGGCGGATGGCACCCAAGTGTCATCTTCACTGGTGCGGTCAGTCCAACGGATTAGAAAGTCCACGTGGCGATCAGATGCATCAATCCAAACACGATGCGCCAAAATTTTCGACGGGTCGAGTGTCGGCTCCGGGACAGGACGAGCTGTCGGGGCGGCATTCTGGCGAGCAATGTCCGTTGTGGCGGGCACGAACTTGCGAAGGAGACTGACATGGAAGGCGTCGTGTACACGCCAGTCGTCGGGTAGCAGCAGCTTCGCGGTGACAGGTGTCACCATCTGGATGATACGAAATGGCCCACAAAATCGTGGCCGTAGTTTCGACGAGCCGGGTAGGCGAAGGTTTTTAGTGTCAACTAGCACTAGTTGCCCAGCCGTCATGGTGATATCCCGTCGCAGGAGGTCCGTGTATTTTCGGGCAGTCGTGTTTGCCTTCCGAATTGCGTCAGCTGCCTTTCGCAGATTTCCTGGAGTTCCGTCACAAAAGTTTGTGACCTCGGGACCGGGTTGTCGAGTGTAGTCGTGGTTGGTACTGTCAAATGTTGAACATTGATATGATAGGCTGTAGTGAGTTGCACTCTAGGGGGTACAGCTTCTAGGGTTGCTCATTTGTACCCCATTCGTTTCCATTCCAAGACATTCCGTTGCTAACCACTCTTGAGATGGTATCACGAGCAGGACCGTTCCTAGCCCGTTCCTAGCCTAGTGTTCACCCTCCGCGCCCTCCGCGCCTAGCTCGCGCCCTCCGCGCCCTCCGCGCTTAGCTCGCACCTCCGCACCCTTTGTGCCTCCGCGCCTAAACCGCGCCACTGCACCCTCCGCGCCTAGCCCGCGCCCTGCCCCTAGCCCGCGCGACGCCCGTAGGCTCTGCCCCAGCCCGTCGCGGCGCCCGTGCGCCCTGCCCCTAGCCAGCGCGTAGCCCGTAGGCGCTGCCCCAGCTCGTCGCGGCGCCCCTGCGCCCTGCCCCTAGCCAGCGCGTAGCCCGGAGGCTCTGCCCCGGCCCGTCGCGACGCCCGTGCGCCCTGCCCCTAGCCCGCGCGTAGCCCGTGCGCCCTGCCCGTTGCCCACGCGCGGCCCGTACGCCCTGCCCCTCGCCCTCCGCGCCTAGCCCGTCGCCCACGCCCCAGCCCTAGACCGTCGCCCACGCCCCAGCCCTTGCCCGTCGCCCATTTCCCACCGTCGCGCCCTCCCCCCGCCCTTTCCCACCGTCAAAACAGCCCTCCCTGCCCATTCCCACCGTCAAACCGCCCTCCCCGCCCATTCCCACCGTCAAAACCGCCCTCCCGCCCATTCCCACCGTCAAAACCGCCCTCCCGCCCGTTCCCACTGTCACAACCGCCCTCCCCGCCCATTTCCACCGTCGCAAACTCCCCACCCGCCCCTCTCTTCCTGTTACCCACCCTTGGCACGCGCCCTAGCCCCACCACCGCCTTGTGCGCGGGGCCCTCCCCAGCTCTACTGATACTGGTCTATCACCCAGCGGCTGGCAGCCGCTCTCTCTCGCCGCCCGCCTAGGTTCGAGCCGTTTAGCCGCTAGTATCGCGCCCCTAGCCGTTGTAGCTGGAGATCCTCCGTTTCACGCCCAACCTAGGTCACTCAGTGCTCCTAGCCTCTCACTCCGCCGTTCTCCCTCCTGGCGCTCCGTAGGTTTCCTCCTCGTTCTTAGCTCAGCCTCCGCCGTGCTCCAGCCGCCTCTAGCATGACATCCGTTATGGAGTCGCGTCGCCCCCGTTTCGACGCGGAGGGACGCCCGATAGAGTTCGGCACCTGGCAGCGCCAGACCACGCGCTTCCTCACCAGCCAGCGACAGGACGGCGCCACTCTGTGGGCCCACGCGTCTGGTGTCCTACCGGCCCCTCCGTCCCCCGCCGCCCTGCCGACCACCCCGGAGCCGACCCCTACGGCCCAGGCGGAGTACGACCGTCGGGTCCTGGCCAGGGACGTGTGGCTCTCGCGTAACGCTGCCGCCGCTCTCACACTGTCGGAGCTTCTCCCCCCGACTGAGGCCGCCCACTTTGACCAGGTGGAGACAGCCAAGGGGGTTTGGGATGCTATGTTGCCCGCTACTCCACCCCCTCCTCTGCCTCCCTCAGTCGCCTCCTCATGCCGTTTGTGTTTCCCGACCTAGGCTCGTTTGCGACTGTTTCCGACCTAGTGACTCACCTCCGCTCGCTTGACGCCGGTTTTCGTGCGGCTTGTACCGACGCACAGCTCCTTGTTGCTCCCCCCCCCCCATGTGGCTCACTGTGCACTGGTTAGTCACCCGCCTCCCTGACCGCCTTGCCACTGCCCGCGACGCGCTTTTTCAGAAGCACCCCACTGAGCTCACTATAGACCTCCTTCAGACTGCTCTCGGGACCATCGAGAGCAGCCTCCTCACCGTTGCCTCCGCCACTGATGCGGTGGCCCCCCGTCTCTTTGCGGGGTGTGCCGCCCCTCAGCTTCCCACTTTCACCTCTACCCGCGCTTCTGCTGCTGTGTCGGTCTCTGAGGACACCGCTGCCGTTTCTGCCGCAGACTGGCAGAAACGGGGCAAGAGTGGCAAGAAGGGCGGGAAGGGGGGAGGTGGGGGCGGTGGAGGCGGCGGTGGAGGTGGCGGTGGAGGTGGGAGCGGCGGTGGTGGCGGAGGCGGCGGCGGCGGTGGCGGTGGTGCACCAGGGGGAGGGGGCCTTGGAGGAGGTGCAGGACAGACAGGCCCACCCACAGGTGGTGGCCCGACCGGTGGGGGCGTTGCCCCCCAGCAGCAGCAGCCACAGCAGCACCAGCCACAGCAGGGACAGCACCAGCAGCAGGGACAGCAGCAGCAGCAGGCACCGCAGCAGTTCCAGCAGTGTGGGCCCCCGCTGCAGTGGGGTCCGCAGCAGCACTGGGGTCCCCCGCCGCAGTGGGGTCCGGGAGGCCCTGGGAGCACCGGCCGCAGCAGCAGCTCTTCCAGCTGGGCCCCTCGCCCCCCTCTCCGTGACGCTGGCCCCTGCACCCACTGGTGCCTCACCGGGCCGGGCAGCCCCTGTCTCTGTGGT